CCACCAGGTGCCACTCAGCCACTCTTCCATATCTGGCAGCTCAGAGAGCCACGGTCCCTCTCCACCATCGTCCTGCTGCCAGTTCACCAGGCCAGGCGCCGGCTCAGATTAGCTGCCCGCTGGCCTCTTTAAGAGCCATTTGAAGGGCAGGCAGAAGGTAGTACCACCGGTGACTGGGTGTACCTGTTGGCTGGTCGCCTCGTGTCAAGGTGGAATTCAGAAATAGAAAATACACCTAGCACCTTGGTGGAGTACCAAAACAGAAGACAATAAATAATTTGACAGCAAATACAAAGAAGAGCTTTATCCAGAGTCAGTGTATTTTAGCTAAATGTATTAACTTTAAAATCTGAATTTCATTAGTCTTTCGTTGCATTAATCAAGAGGAAAAGCAGCAAACATTTAACGTTTTTTTCTTCTTGGATCCTCAATACCAATTTCTAGGTCACTTTTAATTCATGACTGTTGATACTTGCATGAGTTTTAATAACCAGCACTGGCTTGAAATAAAACCATGCATTAAACATAAACATATATTTAAATTGTACTATTCATGTTCATATTGGGGAAATAACTGAGCACACTGCTCCAAATCTTAAATAATATATTGGGTGCATGTTAGTGGTTAGAAAAAGCATTTGCAGATAGAGGGTCTCCCTATTTATTAAGGGCACAAAATAAACACTTTTCTGCTAGAGGTCATCTATATCTGTGAGAGCCAGTGTATTATTTCACAATTCGTATAAAACATTTATTTTAAATCCAATGTTTAATACACCAGGTACCGCCTGAATTGTTTTAATTGAACTTAACTAATATAATATTTTTTCATGTATTTAAAAAGGTGCAAAAGGTTATTAAATATATGGTAAGAAACTAAAAATAATTACATATTATTTTTAACTTTATATTGATTCAGCTTCCCTTGTGAGCTCTGAAATACATTTGGTGTGAGTTGGGGACACTTTCACCGGAGGATTGAAGGCTTGTAGAGCTATCAGAGAAGGTCACTGAAGACACTTTCACTGTTTCTGCTCCATTTGCTGCAGAAGGAGCGACGTGCCAAAAACAAGCAAGTCTCAGAACTGGCCATTTTGGATGCATTGATAGTGCACATCACACACACTCAGCTTTGAAGTGGGCCCATTGCTTAGCAACTGTCACTCCATTTAGATGAATGTAGACAGGTAGTGCTGGACAGACCCTGCTCTTCAACCAGCAAAGCTCCATCTAGATTTAGAACATAATGTAACATGTGGCAAAATTAAATCTAAGACTTCTTGAGCCAAATGCCTCCTAATGGATTCTAAGGGAACAAGAGAGAGGAGGAAAAGAGCATTTGTAAAAGGCTCAGAGGACAGAGTGAGCCTAATAGAAGTTTATCTGGTAGTTTACCTGATGTTCTACAGCCACCACACACACCAGTAATGTTTCTTTTCATGACTCCAAAAGCTCAAATGAACTCCTAAAACTAGACCCCTTGAAATGTTCGCTTTTTGCCTTGTCTGTGACCTTTGAGCTCCACTAGTCGACAGCCTCCTTTAATGAAGCAGTAAGACCATGGAGGCAGATAACAAGACTGCTGCACTGCTCCACTTTTGTACATTTCAACGTCTCAGTGGTCTTTAATGAAAAGGCCAGAGGAAATGCGCAGACAGGCGCACAGTCAACCCTTTCTGATGTGTGGGGATCCTCAGTGTAAAATCATGTCTATGTCCATGTTGATGATGATGCCCACTGTGATCTAAAATCTCCATTAGGTTTTATTTTCCTGTCTTTTGTCAATACTCCCGATCTGATTTTGAAGGTGATGATACAAACAATATCCAGTTATTGCGTCTTGCATATCTAAATAATATGAGTCACATTAAACTACAGCTACTGTCTGAGCATTTCTAAAAAAGCTATTTCTGGAGTGAGCAAATTACGGTGCAGAGGCCTTGTTATTGTTGCTGGAGGCATTTAAGTGCCACCGTCCTAATGGCTATACGAGGGCAGGTGTTCTGGAAAGTGTCAGCGCAAGAGAAAAATGGAAGCACTCAGCAGAGAGACTCCACACATGCACCCACACCCACACACACACACCTTCACATTCTCCCTATTTTTATTGTTCTTTTGTTCATGGTGGTATTTCTCTCCTACCCTCTTCGCTATATGGTTTTTCTCTCATTAATCACAATACATTCACAGGCAAAACTACAGTATGTCCTGAGGCAAACTCACCTCTTCCTTCTCATGGTGCCTTTCTATTTCCCCCAAAAATGTTACTCTCAGCTCCTCTGTCTCCTTCCATCCTTTCTGGATGCCTTGTATGACTTCTCTGCACTGACCTTCCAATTTAAACCAGCCCACATGCCAAGCTTCACCCAGATATCATTGGCAGTTAATGTGCAGAAGCAGCACCTGTCTCCATAATGATACAGAGCTCACTGCTGAGGTTTGTTTCCCCTCTGCCTCTCTGTCTCTCTCCTTCTGCAGACCTGAGATGAATTTGCTGATAATGCCCCTCAGCGCCCTGTTCTCACTCGGATGAAACTTTAGGTTATATTTGTGGCTACTGCAGGGGTTGGGGGTGAGCATGTACGTGCTTTTCTGAGTCTGCACTTCTACAGCACCCAGGAAACGAACTTGGACATAATGCACCAGCTGGTTCATGCTGAAGGAGAGCGCGTACGTGTGCAAAGTACAAACATTTTAACTTACACATATGCATATAACTAACCTGCTCTTTGACTTTATAATGACTACCACAAGTTAAATTGTTTCATCATGTTCTGTAGTTTCATTAAGATATTTTACTTAACACACAAATACAAGAAAAAAGTTGTGTATTCCAAATTTCACATAAAATCCAAAGTATTTGCAATAAATGTATGTTAAATTATTCAATCAATAAGTACTTATTTTGCAAGATGGTTTTATTGAGAGTGTTATATGTATACAGTAATAGCGATTCATTGCATTTTAATAGCTTGATAAAGTGTTGGGCAGTTTATTCCATTACCTGAAATGAGCAGTAACTGTAAGATTAATATAGTATAGTAAAGACTACAATATTTCCCCCTAAACTGTGTTTAAAAAATCCTTAAATGAAAACACTCAACCGCAAATTATAATGAAACACAGTACTTGATGTACTTAGAACCAAACAGTTACCATCTGTGTTCTGATCTGCAGAGCTGTAATGTTACTAACATACCAAGGAAACCAGATTCCCAGCAATATTTCTTCTCTTTTCTTCTCTCTCGGTATCATCGCGACATCGACAGACGCTAATAGGATAGAAAACTGGCAGCCAAATAGACCCCTAAGCAGGACACTGTAATGAGGAAAGGGCCCCTGGGGGCTCCTTGGGGGACACCAGAGATCCATACTGCAGCTGGCAGCCTGAAAGGATCCACAATCCAAGAGAAGTGTCTGTACCGGTGACATGGTTTGCTACTTTGATTCTCTCTACAAGAATCCAACAGCTTGAAAGAAGCTTTTGTCACAAAAAGGGCTGAAACATGGAAACCGACTCCAGATAAACGACTGCAACTGTGTTTGTCTGCAGACACGAGACCCGTCTGACCAGTTAGAGAGTGTCTGGGAATAAATAGAGACTTTTAAAGTTTATAAGCTGCTTTTAGGGGATGGTTAATGTGCCGCGAGTGACTAACAGCAGAACTGTAAACACAGATGGAGCATGATGGTATTTACTGTTGACAGAGCCATATTGCAGCATCACATTTACAGGAGGACTATAGGAGATAGAAATGCATTAAATGTAAATCCAATAACAATTCAGATTGTCCTCATTAGAACCACGAGGATGTCTCCACTAGCTGCAAGCCATGAAACACTGAGTGAGCTAACTGCATTTTTTATAGTTTTTCTAATTAATCTGCATCTTTTTTTAATAAAAAAACCGTGAACATCTGGTGCAACAGACCTAAAGGTTCATTATTATCAACCTATTGTTATAATTAAAACACATTTATAAACTTTAGTCACCCAAATTGACAGCCTTGCATTGTGGTTGATAATGTAGCCTTAACAGTAGTTAATAAATGGTAATGTATTACATCACAGCAGGAAGTTTTGATGGAACATTTGAATAACATGTAGCAAAATAGCATTACATTACATTACATGTCACTTGTTAGACGCTTTTATCCAAAGCGACTTACATACTCAATACTGTGGGCAATCCCCACAGGAGCAATTTTGGGGTGAAGTGTCTTGCCCAGGGACACAACGACATGCTGACTGCAGTGGGATTCGAACTTGCTATCCTCTGATTCGAAGATCAGCGCACTAACTAGCGCACTACCTAGCGCACTACCTAGCACACTACCTAGCACACTACCTAGCACACTGACCCACTGAGCCACAGCCTCCCTATAGCAAAATGTTAACACGTTGCTTATAGGTGCAATCACAGTATTAGATTTATCAGCAATTGTCTACTTTTCAACAAGTTTTAGGGATTATATAAACTTCACACTTAGTGACACCAGATTGAGTAACATAACAAATACAATGTATGCATTTTGAGTCCAGATTTGAAAGAATACAAACTCCACATAACTCTTACCCAGTCTGTGGTTGCTGTTTTCTTGGTTCAACACTAACATGCACACAGACTGAATAAGGTAGCAGGTTTGTCAGATTAGGTGGAAAGCTCTCTGTAATGTTTTTTAAACACAAGTCTCTCTTGGCTCATTAGCAGCTACACGCTACAGAGATCACAGGCAGTCATCGTTAGCTAGACAAACACATGTAATGGATGGCCATTGTTCATCAACAGGTGCAAGCAGCAAATACTGAGGAGGGGGAGGAAGTGATTGAGAGTGACTTCTCTTGGCTCTTGTGTGTATTGTGAATATACTGTGTTTGTGCATGTGCATTTTTGTATTCTCAGGTATGCCACCCCTATGCCACAGCATCGTCCTATTGTGGCGCTGCGGGAAACTTAAAAGTCAAGCAGCGGTGTTTGAGCAGGGCTGTTCAGGTCTTACCTTTGTCCAGGGAAGCGTCCGGGGAGTTGAAGTCCATCAGACTGCTGATTTCAGTCTTGTAGCAGAGGTCAGTAGCCGGAGACTTCTGCCTCGGGTGGGAAGAGGGATCTGAGAGGGAAACAAATGACAAAAAACGAGGTTAAATACACAGAGAACCGAGAAAAGATGATATGGAGGGAGCGTGAGCTAAGGAATGACTCCACATTTTGTTTATTTGATATGCAATCAAATAGGTTCAAACTAAATTATGAGGGCCTTCAATTATTTGAATTTCTTTATTTACATTATAATTAGGTCAACCCAAATGCATTAAAGGGGCCCTATTATGCTTTTTGGTTTTAGGTTAACTATACCGACAACTTACGGAAATATTTGGAAAGATAACACATTTCGACAGATAGTGGAAAAATGTATTTTCATTCTTAGAAATAATATTTGAGCTAAAGCATTTGTAACAAGAGTGTGTGAAAATACTACCACATTTCAAACAATTAGAAAGAGAAAGCAAATGACAAGTTAATATAGTCAATGTTTTTGGGTATTATGACGCATTTAAAAGGGCAACTGGAGATGTCCTACTAACAGTTATTTAAAATGGCTATGGAGACAGCAATAGCTAAATGAGAAGGAGAGCAACTCCCTGTGTACGCCCAAACCTCATGATAATGAATAATATGTTAAACTGCTCATTAGTTTTCCTCACAGAACGCACGAGGAAACAAAATGATTAATTCAGCACGCCACACATCCCTCTCAATACACACATCATGAACTTGTATTCCTCTCTCGTTACACTGTACTCTCCCAACTCCTCGGTTTCTATTCATCAACACAGCTACCGTCTCTGGGGAGAGTGTGTAGCAAAAGTATCCCGGCCTAAACACATGCAGGCACACACACACAGTCACTACTTTGAGAGACTGCTGAATATAAATATTAGCATTTTTATGACCAAAGTGTGATGTGATTTCTGGTGAGGTTCAGTTATTTCTAAAAAATAAGGTTTGGCCAGCCTCCCCAGTGGTGTGTAGTGAATGATTATTAAATGCATAGCTCCAGGTCAGCTCACATAAGAGTTCTTCCTAAAAATGATTTTGTCACTTCAGCATGTGCACAATTCTCAAAAGGTCACAAGTGTCACTTTTTAAAAGAGAAGTAGTTTGGCAAAAACGGCTTTTAAGATTATGCTTCCCTCACACACAGTTAAATTCCAATTCCAGCCAACTACATCTCTTTGACTTCACTCTTCAACCTCTGCTCCTCTTCCTCATCCTGTTCCATTTTCCATCAGTCCACCACCCACAGAATAAGCCACTGCTACAGTTTGATTTATTTGCAGTATTTTTTGCACAGATGTGCCTGGGTGAAGAGCTCCTGGTCTTGGGGTGTTGTTGTCATTATGAAGTGATAAAGCTAACCTTATGCTGACACAAATAACAGCCTGGCAGCCTGTGCCCAGCAACACCGATTGGCAAGCGGTCATGAGGGTTGTTTTTCTGAATAACTGTGGATTACATTTAGCCAATCTATACTTTTTCCAACTTGCCCAGGGTGCAGCCTATGGCACCAGCAACACAGTTTTTTGAATAATGTTAAAATGTGCAGAGTGTACTTATCTGCTGGCTTCAAGCTGCTGCTGCCCAGTAGACTCATGAAAATGTTTTATGTTCCTCACACCGTACCCATGACAGGCCCTCACTAACATTCAGAAACTTACCAAGGGAAATGTGTGTCGGAATAAATGCAAAGAAAAAAGTGAGCCTTGATGGTTGCTTTATGTGGATGGAGAGGAAATAAGAGAGGAAGGGGAATACGCTACAGAGTGAGCTCAAGAATGACTCGACATTTTGTTTACTTGATATGCAAGAAAAAATAGGTTCAAACCAAAATATGAGGACCTTAATTATTTGAATTTCTTTATTTACATTATAATTAGGTCAACCCAAATGCATTAAAGGGGGTTTTGTTTGTTTTTTCCTTTCCTGTAGTGTGTTATATATGTTTTTGTGCATGTAAACGGTCTGCAAAGGCTAAAGTCCCTGTGTTACCTCCAGAGGAAGTGTTTCTCCCACAAACTCCACGAGCCTATTTAACCGAAAATAAACGAAAATTCACATGGATTCATTTACAACTGGTAAAGTCACTTATTTGTAAGAATGAATTGCCCAACATTAAGAAATTGGCTGGGTAAGTGAGCAAAAGAATCAGCATGCAACGTTTTATTATGAGAGAGTTCCCACTAATGTTGACACTAATCACAGAAACAAGCAAAATCATAATGTGAATACATAAGGGCAGATTTATGGAGTCAGAATAAGGGAAGGATGTGTGTTTGTCTATATAACAAGAAGCAGGAAATCATTATCACTGGCTGGGCTGCAATCAGTCCCCAGAGTTAGAGGTCTGGACAGGCTGCTGATCTTATTATCAGTTTTTTAGACTTAGTACTGATTCGTGCAGTGTTGTGTATTTGTAGACAGCAATGATTTTTGTTCACACCGAGTTATCAAGCAGGTAATTGTAATGTTGTCTGAGTCACCGTCAAAGCTCCTGAATCAATCTCCCTTCAACACACTGAATATTTTGCTCCAATAGCCTCATATTGATCTTTTGGTCTTTATCTCAGCTCACTAAAGTCAAAGACGCATGCAGACAGTGGCACAGTGAGGAGAAAGACACACAGTGGGAGGCAGGAATACACTGGATGAGATATCAGGGGAAGAAAGTAGAGAGGAGTTATAGAAACAATCAGAAATGTAATCTCTGGCTCTCAGCATTTGCTATAAGGTGCTAGACTACATCTTGAATGTGAGTGAAGCTTTCTGTAAACCTCTACTTTCACTTCTTCTTCAAATCATGTTCGGAGAGATCTATTAAGGATTTGAGATAAGAGCATAATTTCCTCTCCGCTTCCAGCTTCTCTGTCCGTTCATTTCCTCTCGCGCAACCAGCATTCTTATCCGACAAAGACACAAGCTCGCCTATCTTCTAACTGCATGTGTGTTATATTTTGGCATAAAATGAGAGAATCAGTATGTTTTGCAGAACCTAAAATGACGCCGTGTAATTAAAATCAGAAATTGCTATTTGGAAATACAGCAGGTTGGTACGGCGAGATTGGCCATCTTTCCACTATTTTAATTGAAATCCCAGAGAACGGAATAACATTTTAACATCGACATTTTCAGCTGTTTGAATGTTCTGTGTTGAATATTTAAATGTCCACATCGCTTTCATCAGCCCTTCAAACCGTTTCCTCACTATTTAGTTGTTTAGTTTTTTTCTGTGGAAAGTTTTACACACACAATAGCAGTGAAGGCATTGGTTGTTATAATCTTGCCGGCTGTATTGCGTTCATAAGAAAGCAATGAAGTGCACTGCAGCAGAAATGTATTTGTTATATATTTTTAAACACTGATGAGAATTTATCACACCTTATGGCTTGATTCCATTTTCCTCCCATCAAACTCCATCAATTTCTTTCATCAATAATACACGGTTAAACCAGCCGGGCATACAACTCAGGGAACAGGTAATAATTCGGCTGTGATTGAATAAATAATGATTTGGCCCACGGACTAAAACAACTGCTGTTCATCGAAACCACTCTCCAGCAGAAAGGGGGTGCTGCAACACATTGTCAGTTGCTCTAAACTTAAAAAAACTATTTCAAATATGTTTTAGAACAAATAAAACATTTCATTACGATATGCCATACTACAGTAGGTTTCAAGGTTATTTTAGAAACTGATGTGTATATGTTCACTTTAAAATGTGCCATACCCCAGTGACCCTCCCATGGGAGTCTGATGCTAACCTTACAATGTTGCAGCAAAACTTACATGGAGGACTCAGCCTTTGTCAACAGGAGCGCCCTGTTGTTACTCAGTAGGGAGTAAACACCGAATCCTGTCAGTGAGAGGTGCGTCTCCCAGAATAAACTATTCCCTCAAAGAAATAGAGGCAGCAAAGCCTCACTGAGTCTAAAGGAAGTCAAACTGCAGACTTCATTGTGCTTTAAAGGACTCAGACACTTGCTTTTGGGCATTCAAATAGTTTGTAGTCGGGCGGATGGTAATCCTTGAAGGGAGGGAAATATTTGGGATTATGAGACTTTTAAACTCTGCCTTAGTTTGATTGTTGTTGTTGGTGTTACTGTGAGTGTCACTCAAAATAGGTCTCATTTATCATTTATGTTTGCTGTTGCACATTATAATGAACAGTGTCTTATTGAAAGTTAGGAAGTATTAGCATTTATCTACAAAGGCCCATATGTCCGTCTCTAAAGGATGAAACTGACAGCAGTTGAAATGTCTTGATGTATCTCTGTGTAAATGTATCATCATCACTGTAAGATCAGTAGTGCAGCCTTTATTTCAAAGCCAGTAAGCTGTTATGGTTCTGTCGGGACACACACATGCACAACATTCATCTTTGCTTTATCCTTCTGAAAGGCTCTGACAAGTCCAACCACTCAGGATGACTTTACTCTCCATTAGGCAAAAATAATAATAGACTTCGTCTTCTGAAAACCTTGATACCTTCACTTGAAGGTAGCAGGAAGAGAACCGTTACGCTCCAGCAAGTTAAACGATTGAGTAAAACCACCAATTTACATCCAGTTACCACACCAACGTTGAAATTCACAGGTTTACGGAGATGATTGCCGAGGTAATTCAAGCAGTTACAGCTTTAATGAGCTGCACTGTGTAGGATTATGATATAAAACTTCCCACATTGTAATGCTCTCCTGGTTGTATGTTCCAACAGTCTTAACGGGGCGATCGAGATGAATTACTAGTCTCTTCATGGCCGCGCAATTTCTCACATTCCCGTCACCACCCTTCTCCCTCGAGCCCTCTCTTCTTCCTCAGCTGACTGACTCCACCACTCCAACGTCACCTCTCCTTTTCCCCTCCTCCTTTTCTATCTTTTTCTCTGTCGCAGGTTAATGGGGTACTCCGAGCTCTTCACTTTTTCTGAGCATGCCATATTTTATCTGCTGGCACGGCGCAGGAAAAAGACGGTGGCTGGAACAAAAGAAGGCCCTAATGAGTAGTGGAGGTGATTAAGGAATGAAAAGGCGCTGTAGCTGGAGCCTTCGCCGC